TTACGAAACTGTAGTTCAGATTTCTCCAGGAGTTTGGTATTTTGGTCTTTTCAATGGAATTGGACCTACAAGGACACAATCAAAGATGGTATGTTCTATTATCCTTTAGATTTAATAGTTCTTGTGTTGATTTGCTCTGCTGTTTGGGAATGCTGTTAGTCATGCACCTGAAACCATTAGTTCCCTGTTTACTGTATGCGATGAAGTTTTGTTGTTCAGATCTCACATCAAAACAAATATAGAGAAAGAAAAATGCGTGGTATTTGGAGATGAAAAATGCGTGGTATTTGGAGATGAAAAAGGCTTTGTAGTTTTGTCTCATTTTTTTCTTTTCCATCGAAGGCTCTTAATGCACTAATAATGGATGGTATTGAAGTTTATGTTCATTGAATTCTTAATTGAGCCTACGACGCTAACATTGCAGATTAATCGCTCACCATCATACACCTTCAGTGCCAATATCACTGTGGAAGGATGTACGACCCTAACCATGTGGGGCCCAGACTGCAATCAGACAATTAACCCACTTTCTTGTGCTCTATCTAACAGTTACAGTGCTGCAGACAATTCTTCAGAAGCTGGTTTGTATAACCAAACACTTGAATATGTAATTTCATGCAAAAACAATTTTGGCACTTGTCATGGAGATGGCGAGCCCACATTCTATTCTTTGGATGTAGTGGGAGTATCACAAGAGTTGAAAATTTTGGCAAAGGATGTTTGGTTAAATGTAACGTTTTCAAATAACACCAAGAATGTTAGTGATGTTAATTTAATGTGTTATGCACGGCATGGTGCAATACCTTCAGAAACTGTGCATGACTATTCCAGTAATATAAACAAATCCCCGTTGGTCATTCAATTTCCAAAGGTCGGTAGCTGGTATATTACTATTTTACCTCTCAACGTTTCAAAGGAGCTTGGAGGGAGTCTGGATACTGACACAAAAGTTTGTTATTCCCTGCAATCAAAACTGCTTGAATGTCCGGAGGGCAAGGCCGGAGCAAATTGTACAAGGGAAATATACACCCTTCAGGTGGGCTTGCTGATAAATATGTTTCTGCTTCTGTGAAAGTTCATGAATTTTTTAATTTCTTGTAAGTGGTAGATTATTTGTTTGATTTCCACATTGATATTGTTAATACCATGTTGCAATATTAGATGACTGTACATTTTCTGTGTATTTAATTTAATTTTTTATGCTTCAAGAAACTTATTGGCAGGAATGATTTATTGACAAGCTGAGAATGGTTGTCTGCAGACATCACTGAGGAAAGGTTCAAGCTACTTTGAATACTACTATTTACCCGTCAGTGAAAAAGTGTCTCCTGATTCGGCCAATTTTCCTCTTGATCCTCTTTCAACCAACTCCTCGCATGGTGGACAACCAGAAGAAGCATGGACTTACTTTGTCATGGACATTCCGCGTGGAGCAGCTGGAGGAAACATGCACATTCGATTAAACTCAGATGAAAAGGTTAACTATGAAGTATATGCTAGATACGGTGGATTACCATCTCTTGCTAGCTGGGACTATTTTTATTCAAACAGGACAAGCAGTAGTGATAGCTCCATGTTTTTTAACTTATATAATTCAAGTGAAGACAAGGTCGATTTTTACATTTTGTACGTTAGAGAAGGGACTTGGAGCTTTGGTCTAAAGCATCTCAACACCACCAGTGATGCTTTGAAAGTTCCGACTAGCATGTCTGTTTCACTTGAAAGATGCCCGAGAAGGTGCTCTTCACATGGAAAATGCGAAACTGCATTGGATGCCAGTGGATTGACATCATACAGGTTTATTTTTAATCCTTCACTTTATGGTTTTTTATCTATTGTGTTCTTCAGTTTCCTTTTTCGGAACACCTATGTTTTAAATTTCTTGATTAGGAAGATAGCTGACACCTTAATTTTTAATCTTTCCATAGTAATTGCGAACAGTATAGTTTTCTAATATTAATTTTTTTTTGTCAGCTTCTGCTCATGTGATCGAAACCATGGAGGCTTTGACTGTAGTATTCAACTTGTAACACCTCATGGTACGTGTTATTTCAGCAGTGAACTTATACAAAATTGTTGTCTATGCCGTTGGCCTTTTTTAACTTTTTCTGCACATAGTTCGAAACATGCTAATGTAGTCTGTTTTTCATTGAATGAGGTTCGTTTGTCCTGCAGCCGGTAATATGAATTTTCCTCCAGGAAGCAAATTGAAATAGAAAGTGTTAAGACAAAATGTGCAAAAATAGAGCCCCGCTATTTTGGAGGAATAAAATGTAGATGATCAAATTGCCAAAAATTTATATCATTCAGCGAAAAAGATGTTTTGGAAAACAATATAGACTTGTCTAACTATATACTGTATCTACTTAGTTTGGCTGACATAGGCCCTGAATCTGATGTAGTTAGTTTGAAGTGGTTTTCTACAAAGTTATTATTTACGTTGCAAACTACCTGAGATTGATATTGTGCTCTACAATTGTTCTCTTACTTATTTCCCTGCCTGAAAATTGTCGTAGGGCATGTATGGCAATCCATTTTTCTTATTGCTTCAAATGCTGCAGCAGCACTTCCTGCATTTTGGGCCCTTCGACAGAAGGTAATACTTTAACTTTGATTCACAATAACCAGACTTCTTCAAACATAATGTAATAATATATTACTAGTTGAAGTTTGCGACAGTACTCTCCATAAGATTATCCTAAGTGGACGCTGAACTGGTGCCATATTGGTTTGACTCAATTCTGAAATTTAGACGATTTTCATTATCCAACCAGAAGCCTTTTTTTGCTTTTAACAAGTAGACCATGATTTCTATTTGCAGGCATTGGCAGAGTGGGTGATATTTACATCTAGTGGAATTGCAAGCGGAATATATCATGCATGTGATGTGGGAACCTGGTGTCCTCTGGGCTTTGGTGTCTTACAGGTACACTTCTTTCTCTATTTTCCTTCTTAAAGAAATAACTATTGATCGAACGTTTTGTTTTTAATGAGATAGAAAGATAATATTTCTCTCAAAGATTTGGTGTTACAAACTTATGAAGACACTTGTAAAAATAATAAACAATGAGAACGGGATACACAAGTAATGGCAAAAGACTGGACGCATTTGAAGTTGACAAATCCGTTCTGGTATCGTGTAATTAAGCAGTTATATACATTGCATTAAATCTGTGCGATTAATTAGTTATTTGGAAATTTCAGTTCATGGACTTCTGGCTCTCTTTCATGGCCGTAGTGAGCACATTTGTGTACCTAGGCACATTTGAGGACGATCTTAAGAGAGCAGTACACACAGCTGTTGCAATCCTTACTGCCCTTATGGCTTATACTAAGGCCACAAGGTATAGTTACCGTGCATTTTAAATCTGGACCGGTTTTTAGTAATTCCATTATGCATCTAACCATGCTGAACTTTGCAGGCCGGCCAATATTATTCTTGTAATGGTAATTGGCTCTGCGGCTCTTCTTATTGGGTGGCTGATAGAATTGTCAACCAAGTTTAGGTCATTTTCCTTTTCGACCGGATTCTCCTTAAATATGATTGAGAGGTGGGTATCCTTGGAACGCTACGATGTTATTTTAAATTAGCATGGGCTGGGCAGGCATCTACAATTTGCACAAACCCTATATGAGCATAATAGCCCTAGTAGATAAGTTGATGGTAGCCCGTTAACTTTTGCAGTGACATTTTTATGGTGGAGTTGTATTTATGCTTATCCATTCCATTCCCTTTTCTAAAATACAAACGGATTACGCAGGTTGCAAGCTGTTAGGGGATGGCTCAAGAACCTCATTAAGACAATTATTAAAAGATTTCGCTGGGGTTTTGTACTGGCAGGTTTAGTTGCATTAGCCATTGCAGCAAGTAGCTGGGTACTGGAGACCAGTGAAAGCTACTGGATTTGGCACAGGTATAGTTATATAATGAAAATCTCTCTCTCTTCTCTCTCTCTCTCTTCTCTCTCTCTCTCTCATGAATGGTGCATAAAATGATTTGCAGCATTTGGCACATAACAATATATACATCTTCCTTCTTCTTCCTATGCTCGAAAGCGAGTCCTGCAACTACGGTAGATACTGAGAATCAAATACCACAGAATGGAGCCTATGAATTGACTCGACAAGATTCATTTTCAAGAGGCCAATAACGAGAAGAGTAGTACGGGAAATTTTGCAGAGGTAAGGTTATAGAAAAAAGAAATAACTTTTTTTTTTTTACTGCCAAGGTAAAATGTTTTGGGAGATGGAAGGTTTGTGTATATTTACTATATAGGTAGGCAGTATATTGAGTTGGAGAAATATGAGAGAGTTATTGAAGGGCCTCGGTGGAAAATTAAAGACGATGTTTAGTTTGGTCATTGAAAGTGTAAATGGTAATATTATTTTCATGTGAGTCTTTTGATTTGGCTCCTACTTTTTGTTTATGTTTATATCTTCCTGGAGCTCTTACCATTGTCGCCAAATGGTGACCGGCCCCAACTTATCAACCGAACTCGCTACAAACATGTATCTGTCATTTCTAATCAAGTAGAGACTGAGTGCCGCTAAATCAGCTAGTCATCTCATCCACCCTTAGTTATTATAATCCCAATACGCTCGTATATTTGATAAAAGATCAGAATACATGCATATCGAATTCGATGGCTTAAAATACAAGCTGCCTTTAAGGCCTGATGTGGTACTGAGGTGATTCTGAAAAAAATTGGTATAAAAAAAAGCTGGAAGCTGTTTTTGTGTTTGGTAAACATTCAGCTTCAATTTTTTTCATAGTTTTGGATGAAAGAAAGCCAAAAACAAGAAGCTGCAAAATCCAGCTTTAAAAAACCGATTTTTTTTCACATCTGTTTTACATAAAAGTTTACCAAACACTACAATACTGTTTTTTTTTCTTTTCAAAAGCACATTTACAAAAAGTTTACCAAATACTCTGCTGCTTTATTTCACAGTTACTTATTCTCACAGCACAGTAAAAGCAGTTTTTTTTCAAAGCACAGCAATACCAAACCAGTCCTAAATGTACAAGATCCTCCAACAACAATAAACAACTCAATAAAACTTTCAAGTAACCAAAATACACTCAAAATCTAGGTGTCCTATACACAATCCGATCTGCAGAATCATTCTTCAAGAATTACTCGATTTGCTACTCAAATTGCTCATGCACATTTACTGCGTAGTTCTTTTTTACCAAAACGCAACCACTCTTCATGTTCCATCTCCGGTAAAACCATATAATCATTACATTCCGTTTTCTGGGAGCACCAAGACTCATTGTTTTGTCACTCTTCTCATGTTCAGGTACTCATCTGTGAACGGCTAGAAAATGAACGGAAGTCTGGAGCTAATACCTCTTTGTAATCCTTACGGATGCTCCAGAGGATCTCCGCGCACCTCCTCATGCTAGGCCGGTTCTGTCTGCGTGGAGCCAAACATTGCAATGCTAGTTCAAGGATCTTTTCGATGGCTACATTATTTGCTGCTGTCTGTTCTAACCTCGGGTCCAAAATCGAAAGAGCATCTCCATCAGTAAACTTCTTCATAGCCTGCAAAACCAACCCCGAGTTATGTGTTACATTCCCACGTAAACCGAGTAATGTGATAAAAGAGCTGAAGAGGTGAAGTTCATACCCATTTTGCAGTTATTCGTTCCTTGATTTCCCGTTTAGGCTCAATTGGGCGCCTGCCTGTAACTAGCTCAACCAGTAGTACACCAAATGAAAAGACATCACTCTTCTCCGTGAGTTGATATGTTCTCAGGTACTCGGGGTCCAAGTAGCCAGCGGTTCCTTTAACTTGAGTGGAAACATGGGTTTCACCTGAATCGCTATCAGCAGCAAGCCTGGCAAAACCGAAGTCAGCTACCTTGGCCCTGAAGTTTTCGGTTAGGAGAATGTTGGAAGACTTGATGTCTCGATGAATAATTGGATGATCTGCCAAGGAAAGCCAAGCACGGTCCTGTTAGTTCCCCGACACAGATTCTACAACTCTAAGTGAACTAAAACAGGAGATTTACCCGTGTACATATGCAGATAGGTGACGGCATGAGCCACATCAATTGCAACGTCTAGCCGTGCCGCAAGGTCAAGAATCTGACCGTACAAACCTGCACTATGCATTGTATCACATTTTAGGCACTCAAGGTGATGCATTTATGAGCCAAGGTGCACCGATACACGCTCATTCGCGCGCACAGGCACACACGGCACACAGAAAGGAAGACAAAAAAAAAGAGAGTAACACAAATAGAACTTACATTCCAAATGTTGTCTGAGGGTTCCATTAGGAACATACTCGACAACAACAATCTTTTCGTCTTCATGCTCCAAATACCCGTAGAACTTGACCAAATTCAAATGCTCCACCTGCGCCAGCATTTGAATCTCGCTTTGGAACTCCACTCCCAAATGCTTGTCATATACACTCTGAAAACAAAAGTAACAACTCAGTTAAATCCGAAATCACACACCGGTTTTAGCCATATAACGGTCATAGAAACATGAGAAATTGAATATAATGTTACAAACTTGTAGCCAACCTTTTTGGCACGTTTGATTGCAACAAGGGTCCCGTCTCCGAGTCTCCCCTTATAAACTGTCCCAAAACCGCCTTGTCCGATCTTGAAAGATGGAGAGAAGTTCTTTGTGGCCTTGTTTATTTCTTGCATGGTGAACTTTAGAATCCCGGGCTCACTTTCGTGCCTCGAGTTATTTGAGTTGAAGTAGATGCCTCGACTTGAACTGCGCCTTCTCTCGCTCCCATCTCTCGACGCATCCGAAAATACTACGAAAAACAACTTACTTGTTCAGCATACCTCATAAAACTCATTAAACAGCTAATTTGATTCAATTATTTGTCATGGCGTTGAGTTGTTTGTCTCTTCTTACAGATACGAAAGAGAAGAAAACAAATGGCAGCCTAATACTTTCTTCATTTTTTAATCAAAGCAGGCCAGTGGTTCTTAATTCTACTTAACTTCATTAATATAAAATTTGTCCACTCACTCTACTCATCCATTACATACTCCATACAAATATTATATAAAGATAAAAGAAAAAAGTGGTTAACCGGTCATTGTATTTCCATTAACAACTTTTCCCCTGCGGAAAAACTCGGAAAAATAATCCATAACCCTGGGTTGCGAATGAAGGGAAAGCCGCTGATCAGGAATTTAACAGAAAGGAATGGAGGAATTGGTCGTTCTGGGATCACTTTTGTAACGGCTAAAAGTGTTTTCTGACAAGCAAAATCAACTCTTAACCATGTCTAGTAGAAAATCTTAAAAGCGCTTCTGGATCCTTAAAACGCTTAGGTGCCAAAGCATGTTCATAGCAAAAGAAGTATAAGTCATTTGAGCTCAAGTACTTTCTACAAAAGCAATTCAAAAAGGTGCCCTCAGCCTCACAATGATCTTATTGAAAAGACTTGAAATTTCTATAATTCCATCTCTACCAAAAATCCACATTTTTTACCAGTCCCAGTTCAGATTCCTCAAAACAAAAAGGACTTACCGGAGGGAGCTTTGAACTCTTCAGAATCACCGAAGCTTACGGAGCTCTTCGTCTCCGGCGGGGTGAAGCACGAGGTGAAGGCCCCAGCGACGGAGCGGGCGGCGACGGAGACCACGCTCCGTCCGGAGCTGGACTTTTGACCGGTTGAGGATAGGGAGTAGGGCGAGCTCGGAGAGTAGGGGATCCGGTCCGGCGTGCTCCGCGGGTCAGAGGTAGGATTCCGGCGTCCGTACGATGGGGTTCGCCTCATTTCAGAGAGAGAGAGAGAGCGAGAGAGATAGGACGTAGACGTAAAAATGGCGGGTGGTTGTAAGCCGTGTGAAGTTGAGAGAGAGAGAAGACTTCTATTTTTCAAAAGGTAAGGGAGGCTAACGTGCGCCGTTGACGTCAAGCGTGTTAAAGAGTAGGACCATGTGCAAAATAATTGGATTTCATTTTCAACCGTAAGATTTTCAATTTAATTCCCCCATTAAACATCCAAACATTATATTCTTATAATTTATTTATACAATTTCTCTAATAGAGATGATACTCATATGCATCGACAAATTACATCTTTATTAGAAAAATAATACAAATAATAATACAATTAAATAGTAATTATGAGACTCACATAAGTCATAAGTCGTGTGAAAAATTAATTAAAAACAATATTAAGGTCTTTGAACTTTAAAAGTTAAACTGCTATTTTATAAAAAGTTTATTCTGTGGCGCTTATTTTTTGTCTACAAGACACGGATTGATGCCAAGTGGCTTTCATATCTCTGAATCCGAAGAGTTAGGGACTTTTTTTATAAAAGAAATTTCTATTTGTTGATTATATACATCTCTTGACCCATCTAGCATTATTTTGGCATATATATCAAACGGAAAATGAGCGTATCGAGCAACAAGTGTTACGTTAAACAACAAATATTATCATGATTGTTTAATTGACAAAAGAACCAGTTATATAAAGATTTGTAACTTTATTGATACACTATTAAATTACGACAATAAGAAAACCTATCACCAACTCCATACCGAAAACATAGCAGTGAAATTAACATTGTATTTTGAGTTCTCCTATTAATATCCATTTCTTAATCACTAGATATTAAATAACTTTTTGTTAATTTTATTTTTTGTGGCTTCAATTCGAAGAAGTGATTGTAAAAATATTTGATTGGACCACCGACAGCTTTCTTGTTGTTGATAGCTCAGACATGCCTGTCTCCAACTCTTTACCATGACTAAGTAAAAGGCATAATTTGTGCACACCTCCTGCCATACAAAATTGCAAACCATATTTGACGTGATGACCTTTCTAGTCACATCCATAATTAAGGGTGAATCGGTACGGGATCTCAAATTGAAAATGAGATTTCAAAGTCCAAAGAGAAAATGTTCAGGTAGAAATTTGAATACCAATCCCGAATCAAATTTTGGTATTCTCAAAATATTTACGGTATTTCGGGATGGATCTGGACTAGATTTTGGTTTTGGGCTGAAATTTAAGATTTTTCGGTTGTGGGCTAAAATTTGGGTTTTGCCTTGAAATTTTGTTACCCAATTTCACATCAATTGAAATTTAGATTTTTAATATCATACCAATTCATTCATACCAAGTCAAATTGATGTTCCAAAGTCCCAAACTACTTAATTTCATACTTCTATTTCTAATATAGTCTACTATCAAACTACTTAAATTCAACATTTAACATGCATGCTACCAAAATAAATAAATAAATAAAATATATTTTTGGTTCGGTTTCGGTTTGGGATTCCCGAAACATTAAGTATGTAATCCCGATTCCCAGACCAAAAGATTTGGGATTGGTTCAGTATGGAGTCGAGAAAATATTGGTATTATCGGTGTGGAAATTTTTCGGTATAGAATTAGAATTTTTTTTGTTTGATTTGTGATTTTCGGAAAAATTTTCCAGCCCTTTCCATAATACGCAAGATTAGCAAATAATGTTGCAATTTTGTGAAGACCTACCACCAAACAATGTTGCAATTTAATTTTATATATTCTTTTCTGTTACGTTTGGATGGCATTGAACCTCAGACTTTCCTCGTCCAGACCAATTACGACGGAAGGAATTTTAGTTCATCTGTATAAAACATACGAATTCAGAAACTTACTCTACAATCCACAAAGATCAATTTACTAACACTTTGATTAGAAGTTAATCAACTTTGACACAACTCTGCAATCTGCAGTTTGTTGAATATTGCCACAATTTCAAGGAACCTCTCCCAATCAACATGTCTTATATTAGCAACAATGAAGGGGATTTTTCACTCGATGGATGAAATCGTGTGACTCAACAACAAATAGACAGAAATGATAGAATTTTCTATTGCTTCGATTACATGAATACTTCTTGTAATTTACTCAAATTTTGAATTTCGTCCTTGTAATTTTAATCTTTGCAATTTAGGTTTTTTTTTTTTTTTTTTTCAAACAACATGAACCACCAGGGAGAAAATGCAATGCAGTAAAAAAAAATGTTGAAACGAAAGTGAAAATTCGAATAAACTATAGGAACCATTAGTAAAAATTGGCTTTTGAATTTTGATTGGTCTGGTGGGTACTGGATTTGAGATTGTTTAGTTCTCAATTAAGTTTGGCTTTCCTTGATCCAAAATGTAAACATTAATCCTCTATCACACCGAGCTCAAAGTAAGGTTAAGATAGTAATAGGAGGGTGCTGTGAAGATACAAAGATATGAAGACTCAAGCTTTCTCTCCCATGGATACAGGTTTGGTTATGCATGGCGTAACAAACTGCATTTACGTTTCTTTAATAGAACCCCTTGTTCTAACCTTACACTTGTACAATAATATTCCTCTCAATATCATTTAACAACTTCTTTTACAAGATATCCCCCGCATTTGCACAAGTGTTCAGTATTTATACCAAACTGCAAGCTAAGGCAGTTACAAGATATTTCTCAAATTTTATCCCCAACTAACCCCTTATTATTAGTACTAACAATCACAAATAGGATACTTAGCATTAACAACCAACAAATACTAACAGCATCCTATCATTACCCCACCCTAAAAAATGAACCTTGTCCTCAAGGTTGGAATGCAGGAAACCTGTCGACAAATTATGCATAATTTTCCCATGTCGCCTCCTCCTTAGAGCGATGTGTCCATTGCACCAACACCTCTGTCATAGATGAATTGCCATGGCCTGTTAACCTCCTCCGCAGTATTGCCAATGGATAATCCTCCAAGAGGCCGTCCTCGGTAGCTATCGATAAAGGAATTGCAGGGATGATATCAAAGCCCAATTGTTTCTTCAAGCAAGAAAGATGAAAAACGGGATGAAGTTTGGATGTGGCAGGTAATTCAATTTTATAAGCCACCTGACCAATCTTCTGCAACACCTTAAATGGACCATAAAACCGTGGCTGAAGCTTATGAAAGGGATGTTTAGCGAGAGATTGAAGTTGATATGGTACCAATCGCAGAAAAATCATATCCCCAACTTCAAAAGATCGTTCACTTCGATGTTTATCAGCCTGCTGTTTCATCCGTACTTGAGCTGAGACAAGATTAGTCTTGAGTTGAGACAAAATTCGTCCCCTTTCTTGTAGGCTTCTATCAACCAAATCTACTTTAGTTGCTCATGATTCATAAGTAGGCAAAGCAGGAGGTGGTTGACCATATACAACCTTAAAAGGTGTCGGTTTTGATGAAGTATGGAAAGTAGTATTGTAGTGCCATTCTGCCCAAGGAAGCCAATGAACCCACTTTTTTGGTTGATGATTGCAAAAGCATCTTAAGTACGTTTTCAAACCCCGATTGGTAACCTCTGTTTGACCATCTGTTTGGGGATGGTAACCTGAACTGAGACACAATTTGGACCCTTGCAGTGCAAAAAATTCCTTCCAAAAAGAGCTCAAGAAAATAGGATCTCGGTCACTTACTATTGTGGACGGTATTCCATGAAGTTTGAAGATATTATCAACAAACATTTGTGCAACTGAATGTGCAGAATATGGATGAGACAATGGCAGGAAATGAGCATATTTAGAAAGGCGATCAACGACCACAAAAATAATGGTTTTTCCTTTACAAGGGGGAAGACCAACGATGAAGTCCATTGCTATATCCGTCCACACAGTAGAGGGAATGGGGAGCGGATTAAGTAAACCAGGGGAAGCAAGAGTTTCAGACTTGTTTTGTTGACAGACCTGACAAGCTGCCACCCATTGCATCACATCTGATTTCATGCCTTGCCGCTAGAAGGACCTGGCAATCCTCTTATAAGTTTTAAGAAAACCAGAATGGTCTACCATTGGAGTGCAATGATGCTCGTAAAAGATTTTTTCCCACCAACAACTTGATGGACTTAATACAATCCTGCCTTTATACTTAAGAAAACCATTATCAAAATGGTACTTAGTTGTGGAAGTGGAAGCACCATCAAGCGACAAGGATAAGTCTTTAATCTTGGCAGTAATCCAAGGGTCGTGTTCTCCATGCCTCCTTATATCATCCAACCAACCCAAGTACGGATACGAAATGGCAGACAACTCAACATCAGAATGCATTCGAGAAAGGGCATCATCAGCAATATTATTACATCCTTGTTTATATTGTATCTCGTAATCGAATCCAAGAAGTTTAGAAATCCACTTCTGTTGGAAAGGGGTGTGAGCACGATTCTGTAAAAGAACTTCAAACTGTGGTGATCCGTCTTAATAATAAAATGCCTTCCTTGAATGTATGATTGCCACTTCTTGATTGCATGCACAATTGCCAACATTTCTCTTTCATAAGTGGACATTACTCGAGCTTTGAGACCTAATACTTTGCTTGTAAAAACAATTGGTTTACCCCCTTGATGTAAAACGACACCAATTCCATTATTGGAAGCATCAGTTTCGATTGTAAATTCTTTGGAGAAATCTAGTAAAGCAAGAACTTGGGGAGACACCATAATATATTTGAGGGCTTTGAAAGCCATAGTAGCCTTATCAGTCCACTTGAATGCATCCTTTTTAGTGAGAACTGTTAGGGGTCCACAAATTTTCCCATAGTTCGGAATAAACTTTCGATAATACCCCGTGAGGGCAAGAAATCCCCTTAAAGCCCTAACAGAGTGAGGAAGAGGTCAATCTTGTATAGATTTCAGTTTAGAGGGGTCTGCAGCCACCCCGTGCCTGGACACCACATGGCCTAAGTATTTAATTTGGGACTTGCCAAAATCACACTTGGTTTTCTTTACAAATAACTGATGGTCTTAGAGGACTGTGAAAACTAGAGACAAATGGTGAAGATGGGATTCCCAAGAGGCACTGTACACTAAGATATCATCGAAGAAAACCAAGACAAACTTCCTCAAGTAGG